TTTAAATTTGAAAGTGCTTGAAAAAGTCATTTATATTCAGATATCAAGTCATCTAACTGATAAAAAAAGCTAGTCACGTTTTAGAGCTCACAGCACAGAGGCTGCTTTGGGAACGTATGTAACGATTTACTGAATTCTGCTGATTCAGGATCTTCTCTCACTCTTACTTTTGTTAAACCCCACAGTCACTGAAGTTCTGTTGTTCACCTAGAGAATGAGTTAGCCTGGTCCGAATTCCATTTACAATATTTGCACTTGATTTTGTTACAGATAGTTCTTTGAACACTACTGTCATTTTTGTGTCACTGCCTTTCTGCATCTACATGCTGCAAGCTAGTTATGCATATAATATCCACTGACCTTCTCAAAGATGTTCAGTGCTAAAGTCTATACCTTATTTTCTTGTGTTTTAACATTTGTGTCAAGCCTCTTGCATACAGGCTAGCAATCTTAACTGTCCTACAGCAGAGAGTCTTTGCTGAGGAATTCCCTAGCTTTCTACTGCATGAATGGACTAAAGAAAAACGTAATAATTTTACAATAAAAAAATCTGTAAGTCTCAAAGCAAAGTATCAGCTACTATGGGGTGATCAGACAGATAATGAAAATGCAGTTTAAATTGTGTTATGCTTGCAAAGCTCAAGAGAATTCTCTCTTGTTGCTTTATGCATCAACCAGTGTTGTAATTATCTAACACCTAACATTTGCAAGTTGTAAGTTTGATGCCATTTCTATGAGACATTGTCCTTTCTCTCCTCTAGCATGTAGTCCCCCTACTTTCCCTGCAGTCCTACAACCAATGGAATTGTTGCAAGCATATTACCTGAATAATGATAAGTGGTTGAGTTGCCTCTCATCACAATGCCACTTCTTAAGAATGATTTCAGATACTAATCTATCCGTAAGCACAATCAGAGAAAGAGGTACAAAGTTGTTAACCACTTTTCTTGACTGCAACCTATTCTTTACATGTATAGCCTAATGAAGAGGGTTGATGGCAAAGTACATACGTTGAGAGTATTTCATAACTGTGGTTGCACAGAACTAGTTGTGAACTATAGCTATGAAGCCCAAAAGAGTTATGATCTGAAAAAAGTATCTCAGAAAGCTTATTTTTAATTACTCTGAACACACAAACTAGGACACATTTATCATATAAAACTGAGAGGCTGAACTCTACCATGGAGTCACCAGAGTGCCTACGTAACATTTCACAACTGCAAAATTCTGTTATAGCTTCTAAAGATCTAAATGTTTCTCTAAATGTTTTCTTCCATTGCTCTCATTCTCACTTGTTTAATCAGTTTATTGTGAAACATTTTGCGATAGCCCTATGAAGACACCTGGATAAATGTTTTGTTGCCACTGAAGGAGATAAGGATTCTGAGAGAGTATGAAGAGCTCCTGGGAGGTAAGCCAGGTGCAGACAGTTATCAGCACAGAGGCCTCAGAGGTCACCCACACAATTTCTCTCCCTACCCATGCCCCACTCCCAACAAATCACTCTCTCAAAAGGCAGCATATAGGATAGATGTGAAGGAGTTCTTTTTCCTACCAAAAACAATCCTTTTCACTGTTATACTGATTCTGAATCATAGAACTACAACATCTATAAACATAGACTATAAAATCTTCTGTAGTCAAGGGTTCTTTAATCAGTCTTCATACATCTGAATACCCCCTTTTTAAACAATGAATTAATGCCATTTTCACCAATTAATTTTAGTGCAAGTATGCATTTTGGCCTCAATTCAGCAAGGTTCTCTAGAACAGACCTAAGTTTTAATGTAATTGTGTACTTACTCAAAATCAGGCCTGTAGTGCTATGGTAGTACCCTCACACTGAGGAGCTGGTTTTTTTAACCTATGTCATGGAAAGCTGTTTTGCAAAATAAATTTAACATATTAAATTAACGCTTAAACTATAATGTTACCACAAAAAAGGATATCAAGATTAATTAACAGTATGAAAAAGGGTTAAGTCTGCGATATGTTCCTAGACTTTACTTCCTCGGTGCTGAGATAATATTAAGGTATGGAAAAACGTTACAGAAAAATCAGACCATATTCACAGATGAGTGAATTGTGATTGGTTGAAATGTGTGATCTGAAAACTCAAGAGTAAAATAGTTATGGTCTTAGAAGCACTAACTTAATCTCCCCTTTATAATTTAGTTTAAAAAAAATAAAATACATTTAGGCTTATACATCTTTGTTATGGCTATAAAATCCAGTGCGTATCTGATAAATGCATTTACTGACTTCATAAATTCTGTGAAGAATATTTTTGTGCTTTTAGCCAAATATTGACTAATATGAAGTCAATAAATCTGCTAGTCACCTCAAAAGAAATCAATATATTGTATCTTCTTTTGGTCTTCAGAAGTTTAAACAAAAGTAATATATAAAATAAATTAGGCTAGAATTATCCCAGGGATAAGTCTACTGAAGTCAGTTCAAATAAATATAAATATAATTCAAACTTGAAATGTATGTATACATACAATGTTTATGCTTATGATATATAACCTTCCTTAGCTGCATATGTGACTGTTCCATGCCTCAAAATTATTATAGCTATATAAATCTAAATCAGCCCATTTACCCAACTGGAATGATTTTCATGCGTACAGCTTCCATCCATATCACATACAATAGACATCTATAATACTGTATCCCCTCTCACTTTCAGGCAGTGAATATATGAATGAATATGCCAGTTAAAAATGATGAGTCTCATAACTGAACCTACTCCAAAATAAAGGCAGAAAAGCTAAGAAAGCACTAAAACAGTTCTTTGATAACAAGTACAGAAAATAATTACATGATACCAATATTTTATGAGTAAAACAAACAAACAATATCTCAGGATTAAATACAAGTTGTATTTACACTCAAAGTGAACTATGTTTTAATCATCCTTTTCTGCTCTGCTCAAGGAATGAATTATGCCATTACCCTAAACCATAAAAATACAGTATGGAATATACATACATCTGGCGCACACACTATACTGCAGTATATTCACAATAAGCACAGCCATGATCTCAACAAATAACCACGTTCAGGTTTTTTTTTTTCCCTTAATGTTGTTCAAATAGGCTATGGGAATAAAATATAAACTGGATCAAATGAGGGAACAATCCTCAGGAGGACACATGAAACTGATTGCAAAAAAAGCTTTCCACACTGATGCTGCAGGGCTATTACAGATTACTAGGCTGCCAATTCAGACTTCATCATCAATAAGCATAAAAAAGTAAAAGGGTTACCTACTTGTCCTCTTCAAATAAGGAGTCTTTATTAGCCCTCCTAGACATTGGAATGTTTTCAAACGGATTTTTAATATACGTTTGACCATGCTAATGTTCAGATATGAGAACAGTGTAATTATCCAACTGTTGATTGATAATGGATGAGGGAGTAGTGTTATATCTTGGCAAATGATAATCAACATGTAGGTGTTTCAAGCAAAAAACCTATTACAAAATCCAGTACTTGCATTTCTGTGCTTTCTATGTTTTAACAATCAGTCCTACTGAGAAAAGGCACTGACCTTTATTTATGATTCACAATGGGAAAATGCTCTGCTTACAAGCTTACTACTGTGATGCCTTGTTAGTGTAAAGAATCAGGGGGACACGTAATAAATCAGACTGAATTCAATACTTCTCAAATATTTGAAATAGTGCTATATCCAGTAGTTCATCAGCTCTTGCTGTTTCAGTAGAATTGTAAACAACTGAAGTTAATATTTCCCTAACAGCCACAAGTACTTCAAAAAGTACTGTTTAGTATGCATTTTGGTGGAAATGCAATATAACACCTTTAACAGCCAGTTAACATAATTTTGGGGGGAGCTTCATCTTTAAAAGCTTGGCTTCTAAAGTTCTGCCTATAATTATTATGCATCCAAGACCTGAAGAAGGATGCTTCATACCTGAATGGTTGCTTATATCCCTCCCAACTCTGCAGGTGGTCCAATAAAAGAGATCACCCACAAAAATCCTTGCCTCTAAGCAAGAAAGGTAATTTACACTTATAACAGGCAATTACCCCCATTAAAAAAAAGCTTTCCCATAGCAAGCATTAGTAGTAATATTTTTCTGTCTATTTCAAAGCCAGTTTTTAACTGTATGCGACTGCCACCCCTTCTTTACATTAGTGAACTCTTTCCTATAGCAAGTACTAATAGTAATATTTTTTGGTCCATTTCAAAGTCAGTTTCAACTGTATGCGACTTCCACCCCTTTTTTTCCCATTCAATTTGCAGTCTGTTGCATTAGGCAAGCCCTCCA